TCTCTCATTACGTAGGAGAAAAGGTTGTAGTGAGTCACCTCCTGCTTCTGCCCCACCACAAAGTCATCAGCAAAGTGCCTACACCTTCCTTCTTTTCAAATAAAACTGATGATGGTGCAGTCCACTGCCAAACTAGCAAACGTCCCTTTTTTGAGGGCTACTTAGCAGAGCTTTGCTTGAAGGTAAGACCGGAGCACTGCTTGGACTCTCACCTGGGTACCTTCCCAAAGGAGAAGCATCTGCATGGTCACCCCAGCTGCTAAGTCATCTGGAATTTAAACAGAGCACAAAATCAGATATAAAGATCTGTGCACAGGGCACACCATGGTGAAACTTACCTGCAATAAAATGTTTTTTTTTCCACATTTCTTCTCACAGAAACCAATACACAAAATACGTTTATCAGAAATAGCACATGCAAAAAATGACAAGTGTCAGCAGTGATGCTGTGATACTCTTAATCATGCCTCAATCTGTAAAACAGCACTGAAACTTTGGTGTGGCTGATGTCACTTGCGACACTTCAGGGATCTTCTCTTGTCCGCTCAGCAGTGGTTCCTCTCCTAGAAAGGTTCTCCAGTGATCGAGTTACTATTGCACACCCTAGGGCTTTCTGGTTCCACAGACATGTCAAGACTTCCCATGCCACTTGGGAATTTTCTGGTGGTAACACCTCTGCCAACCGCTGCTCTGATGGGGAATGCACTGGAATAAAGATGGAATTGAGAGTGGTCCTGACCTGGCATGAACTCCATCTCTGCCAGTAGGACGAAATCTCACTTCCTTTATTCTCAGATTCTCCTTTAGTGCTCCTTTCCTGCCTTCCTCCCTTCCATTTCAAGGCCGGTTTGCAACAGGATGCAGAGACTTGGAGTGTCCTGCTTCTTTCAAGAGGTGATACTGCACCAGCTCCAAGTATACTCAAGAGTAATGCAGGCATATTAACAGAAAAAAAGGCCTGATGCAGGTAATCCTTAGTCTCACATGCTGCCCTGACAGCTAGCTTGTTTTTCAGAGGCCTGTGCAATGTTTTAAAGGCCTCTGCAGTGCCACTTGCACACAGGAAGCCAGAACAAAGTTCCATAGTGTCTCACACATACCTGTCCAAGCCAGCTCAACCACTCCTGTCACCCCTCTCAGAGTAGAATCACATTTTTGTGGGGGATTGTGGTGGCTGTAAGAACTGCCAACATGCTCACTTGAATGTGATGAACAGTTTCAACTGAAAACAACCCATCTTCAAGTATACAAACCTTTAAATTGCAAACAGCTTTTCCTTTTGAAGCTTCCTTACAATTTGCAGAAATAAAATAACTGTATCTAACACACTCCTTCCCCAACCAAAAATTTATCACAAAAACTACATAAATCATTGATAACCACGTGCTTTGGCTCCAGATGATTTTGCTCTTCACTTCCCATTTTAAGGAAACAGAAATGCTAAAGTTTGACCTAGATTTGCTCATGAGTTTGGATGGCTGAGTTTTTGGGTTTTGTTTGGTTGTTTTGGTTTGTGGTTTTTTTTGTTTTGGGTGGGTTTTTTGTTTTTGTTTTTTTTTTTCTTTTTCAGCTCGGGGTTGAAAAACAATCCTACATGCCCTGAGCACTTTGCAGCTCTGGTTGCATAGCAAACTTCCCAAAACACAGGCATCAGCTAGGAACATGCAGCAGTCAGTAACATCAGGTTTCAGAAAGCCCATACTAGTTCTGTGATACACTGTTTAGACTTCACATTATGCCCTACTGTTTCCTGGTTGCTTTGTGCAACTCGAGTTGCATTAGCCTGCTTCTTTCTTTTGGGATTCCTTGGGTCTTGTCTTTTTTCTTCCTTTCACTTCCCTCCATCTTCTTCCTCTGAAGGATATTTTATCTCCTTACTTTTTGAACTCTTGTCATAGTGTCTGCCTGGGAAAGAGACTGCATGACAGGGAGAGGAGTGCACTAGAACAGAAGCTAGTTGGCTCATGGCAAGAGAGCCAAGGGCAAGGGCACCCCAGACCTGTAAGTGGGTCAGTAATGCCACAGCCCCCAGGGTAAGGGAGCAGCTCCTGAGGCCTAGCCTCACCACCTTGCTCCTTTCAGGCACCCAGTGTACACAGGCAAGATATTCAAGATTAAGGTCATTTGCCACACTGAGGGCATGAAGCATCACTTACAGGGGAAGGGCTCCCTCTTTACCTTCATGGTATAAAAGTTTAGGACCTCTCAGAAGAATGCAGGTTCAAAAAGTTTAACTCTGGGCGGGATTCCTAACCTACTGCCACTTCCCTCTGCATTCCTGTTACAGAGAAATATTGGCAAAGGATTTGGATGCCAACAAAACGATTTGGACAAACAAGACCTAGAGAAGCACATCTTTTCAGTTTAAAAACTCCGAAGGAAGAGTAGTAACAGAATTTATTAGGGCGGTATGCATGGAGGCCAAGAGAAAGGGTAGTTTCCACTAAAATAAGCCAGCAAACCCATGAAGCTGGGCTAGCCAGAAAGGTTGCAGGGCAGATGTTGACGACATTCTAGGATGTAGTCCCAGGCCGCAATAAAGCGGTACGAAACAGAAAACCTAGAGCATAATAGTCAAAAACAAACCACTTAGTTCTAGAGTTTTTATTTTAAAAACAGGAAACAACCACATTAATAAGCATATAAAACCCATCCAAAATATTCACAACGCTGTTACAGAAAAAGAAAATAAAAAGAGATATCATGTGAGAAAGACCTACACATTTCGGTCCAAGCCAACACACATCTCTGATGCAAAGTATGGAATGCTCTTATGCACAGCTGTAAGGGCAATTTCCCATATAGAAATACCATGTCTGGGAGTGCTGGAGGATCAAAGGAAGGGCAGATCTCTAAAACTGTGCCAAAATATGAAAGTTGGGAAAGAAGTCATATATACTACTTCTGAGAATATCTGACATGGAAACCTGCTAAAAGCTAGGGAGAGCTGGATGAAATAGGATTGCATTATGCAAAGCTGGAGTATTTCAGACTAAGTCACAGGAAGTAATTCACAGCAGCAAGTTTTACTGATCTTTGCAACTGTTTCTCACTAGAGAAGGTAGAAATGTCATCACTCCAGTTACTGAAAATGCCAGATACACACTCCTAGAATATACATGCATGGGAACTTCTCTGACCTGCTCTGGCGCAGTAGGTTGTCAAGAAATCTTGGGCTATCTATGCTATGACAATTTTGCTGTCATTGCTGTCTTTCTGAGCCTCTCTTCTAGGATATCCAGTGATGATCCAGCAAGAGTTTGCAGACAGGCCCAAGTCTGATCAAGTCCAAAAGTGCAGAAGATCTTAGAGCAGGGGTTTAAAACTGGACCTACCTCTGTGGTACCTTTAGATAGCTTGTGCAGGTCTGGACAGAGCACAGCAGTCAGCGAAGCAAATCTCCCTGCCCTAGACTGCAAGTATACCAGGTGTGCTGCTACTTACCTTCCTGAACTGACCTATGCTAGCTTGGCAGCAAGGGTAGGTGTACACATACTCAATTGCCTAGCAGTATGACAAGCGGGAAGACCAACATCTACTGGAGTACAAATACTGTTTGCCACATCCCTTTTAACAGAGGTTGTATTACAGAGCTGTACACACCTACACAGCAGGCTGCACACTGGTGAACATCACAACATCATGCAGATCTTCCAGAGAAGACACATGGGGCAAAAAAACATTTGGCCTACAACCAACCAGTGGACTAAGCACTACAGACCTTTCACATTGTAAAGCTAACAAGTTCCAGTAGCTCTGGTCCCTAGCCTTGTATCTGTCTTCATGGCTTTACACGTGTCATAACTGACCAAGCCTGTGACCAGAAGGGTCATGCTACAAGCATCTGTCTAATACTTAGAAGAATAATTGTTAAGAAAATACAGATTTAGAAAATAATTTTTATCCTCACACACTTTCAAGTAACAATCTGCAAATTCCAGACTTTGACCTGCTAGACTAGAGCAGAGGAGCTGAAAATATAAAATTAAGAGAAGGCAGGAAAAGTTACCTCCTGGTTTGCAATCACCACCCTCAATCATCTCATACAATGCTTAACCATTACTGAAAATATAAACTAACAAGACCCATTTGCTGCAATACCATACTTTCCAATCAACACTTGGGAACAATATTTAAAATCGCCACCCAAAACATCCCAAATAACAGATTTTGGTGGATAAGCATACATACCTTTTCTCATTGGCATGCAATTCTTTGAATTTCTTTCCAAAGGGCACAAATAACTAAAAGGTGATGTGCATCACTGGCTCTGTTGTACATACCATCCAAAACACCCTATCTCCTGTATAGTACCACATTTCTCCTTCACAGTCATATTGCACCTCAAGTCTACAGAATCTTGTTAGATTAGCTATTTCTCTTAGACATCTGCAATTTCATCATCTGTACATTTTGTACACCATTAAAAAAATAAATATTTACAAAGTGACATACAAATAAATAAACTTAAGTAAAAGTATGCTTTCAGTCTGTCTATACAAAAAAATAAAACAGGAAAAATTATGCATGTAACTTGGTCCCCTTTTTCCTGAGGCTGAGAAAAGTGCACACTGGATAGGAAAAAGCAAGGAGATGGCTTTTTGGTAGGCTTGTTAAATTCCAGTGTAACACTGCACACACACGCAGTAGACTCAAAGGGCCGGGGACTTGTTTAGTGGGTCACTTTAGCTCACTACAAAAATAGTAATTAAGATTCAAATACGTAACAGTCACTGCGTGCATAATTATGTTAACCCCAAACAGCAACTATAGGTGAGAAAAGCAAAAATATTGCCAGCTCTTCTCCGTTCTCCCAATGTTTGTGACAGGGAAGATGAGATTATTTTTGCAAGTGCCAGGTGCCTTCCGGTACTCGAAAATGGGATCACCCATATCAGAGCTGCTTAATGTTGGTAAGCCTGGCAGAATGGGGGAGTAAATGGGTGCAAAGAAGAAAATAGCAGCAATTGAGGGGGGGAAAAATGTCCCAGTTCTCATGGTTTTCTTTACTCATTCCTTTAATGACCCTTTAATAATGCAGGAGTCAAAGAAGAGGTATCTTAGGCAGCTTCTTTGTCAGGTTGTACACTGTTCAGCTCCACCATGGGGTTCTTCTCTACAGGCGATGGTAAACTGGCTCCTGCTCGTCCTTCAAAGCCCCTGGAGATGTCTTCAAAAGTCCTGCCTTTGGTCTCAGGCACTTTGAAGAATGTGAAGACGAAGAAGATGACCAGGAAAATGAAGAAGATGAGGAAGACATAAGAGCCACATAGTTTCTGCAGGGAGAAAAAAAAGCAGATTTTAATTTGAAAAGCTCATAAACCTAAAGGCAAGGTCATTTACTATTGGCAGGTCAAAATCCTAATACCTTTCTCCAACAATGCCCTTACTGACTTTCTCAACATAGCATTTTTTAAAAATTAAAACAGTTTCCTGTGGGCTTCTGAAATGCTTTCATGTTCTTGGAGGTGACCAAAACTGAGGCTTTTAAAGGGAAAGCCTTGATGTGCTAATTAAGGTCACTCTTCCAACTATTTGTAAGTTACAAGCAGTTAAGACAACAGAATATGAGGCGAGCCACGACAATCTCAACCTTCAGTAACAATCAGAACACAGAATCAGGAGGATCCTCTGGAAGACTGACCAGTCCTCTTGCTCAAAGCAGGCACAACTTCAAGGAGAGATCATGTTGTTAGGAGTCATATAGTCTGTTTTTAAGTCTCCAAGGACGGAGATTCTACAACCACTCTCTGGACATCTCACAGTGCTTTGCAAGCTAGGTCTTTACCTCTGCATAGGGGAACAGCATTCCCACCAAGAAATTAGAGGTCCAGTTGGAACAACCAGCCACTGCCATGGCTGCAGGACGTGGGCCCTGGCTGAAGAGTTCTGCCACAATGAACCAGGGGATGGGGCCAGGGCCAATCTCAAAAAGAGCCACAAAGCCAAAAATGCCAACAATGCTGATGTATTTGATCCAGTCTACAATGTCCTGCAAGAGAATAAAACATGGTCAGCCGCAATTTGAGAGGGAAATATGGCAATATGGCACATCACAATACCATCTCCAGTGTCACAACTTTCTCAGCTCCACTGTGAACACTGTGGCACTGTTTCCACAGTTAGTAAGTTGCACTCTCCACCACACACTCAGCTCTAGCCCCAGCTGTACCTGCCTACAGGGCAGAACTGCACAGCAAGGCAGCTGTATAGTCTTATAGACCCCCTGCTGGGGTCAGCCTGGACTAGAAGAGTAAATTACTCACCTTCAGAGCTAAAGCGATGGTCATAAGAAGAGCACACACAGCCATGCCACCCAAACCAACTAAGTGGAGGGTCCTGCGCCCTGCACGCTCCACCAGGAACAGCTAGAAACATGGCAGAAGGAGAGAGGAAAAAACCTGTAACTTTGGCAGCAAGAGGCTCCCTTGCTCAGCGCGCCCTGCATCTCTTTTATCTGCCTGTAGCCCTCAGTGCCAGTGGTGATCTCAGTGCAGGTCACCAGGCTGCTCAATCTTTGGCACAAGTCTTTTTTTCTGGTTTGTGCTACTGCCTTCTCTCATCATTCTTTTCTTCCCATGCACTCCTTTCCAATCTCCCTTTCTTCTAAAATGAAAACAATATAGTTTCTCCTATTCCACTCTCCCACAATGCTTTTAATACATTCTTGTCTTTGCTCCTATTGCCTGGCCCAATGTTTTGACACAGCCTGGCTACTTGTCTTCAGTCACATCTCCCAAAAAAGCCCAGGCAGACAAATTACCTCTCACCAATAACGCCCTGCTCCACTTACCGACACAACAGTGAAGATGGTGTTTACCACACCAGCTCCAATGGTGGCATACACTGGCTGTGTGATACCAGCTCGTTCAAAAATCCCTGTAGAATAATAGAATACCTAGAAAGAGATGCGAAAGTTGGACATCGTCACAATTCCAGTGTTTTGAGAGCATGCCTCTTGTTCCCTGCCTAATGACTTGCAGGCCCAACAGGGGGTTTCCTCAGAAGCACTGAGCAGTATAAACAGCATGCTTCCAGGCAAGGTTCATGCACTTGATGCAAAGCTGCAATGCTTTGCCAGGGTTTGTATGGGGAAAAGCGAAAGCCAATATAATCTCCACCTTTCATCTTGTCAATCTCTGCAGTTATAACAGAACAGTGACCTCCAGTCAAGGTGCAGAAAGGGGTTTTTGGAAGCACAGTTCTCTCAACACTAGCGGCAAGTGCAAGTGTAGCCAAAGAAGGGAAGCCTGGCAGATGGGACAGGAAGATAACTCACAGCATTGATGCCTGAGAGCTGTTGGGAGAGTTGCAGCATGATGGCAACGATAATGGCTTGACGGTAGTTTGGAGAACGGAAGAGCTCTGGCACAGTGGCTTTCTTCTCTTGGGACATTTTAGCACTCTCTTCTTTCATTTCCTGGATGTCTTGAGACACATCTTGTGTGCCACGAAGCTTCTGGAGAACTGGAGGGAGAAATCAAAAAATGCCAGGTATAATACACCCACAGTCAGTAAGTACCTCCTACTCTGCCCTGCTATTTCAGGGAGGCCACACTGGAAAATTTGGATCACCTGCAAGTCAGTGTTTGGACCTGCAGCCTTGCTCATCTTTTCAACCCAGAAGTTGGGGTGCGACGATTAGCATGGAAACCAGGTCCAGATCCTCCTCATGTTGCTTGATCTGAAAACTTACATATGATCCCCAATTCCGTTCACACACTTACCAGAGCTGACTCTAGCCCTTTGCAGTAGGGGAGGGAAACATGGTCTAAGCTCTTTGTTAAATGACAACCTATTTCCTGCCTTTCAGGAGGAGCTGACAGAGCTGCAGGAGCTGGCCTTGCTACAATCCCACCAGGCCAGGTGCCACTCCTCATGCCTTAATCCCACCTGGAGTCTCTGTGGGGATGCCAGGTATTCTCAGCCTTCCTGGCACTGGTGTAACCTAAAGGATGGGAGGGTAGGCCTGGTGCCCTCCAGGAGAGTCACACCCTGATCCACCATGGGCTCCAGAGTCAGCCCTGGCCTCCCACTCAAGTTCAGTCTAGGCTGGGAGCCAGAGTACAGCCTTGCCCCTTCAAAGATGAGTTCTTACCTGCTTGTGCTTTCTCTTCCTCCATTTTGTTGATCAAGAGGAAACGGGGGCTCTCAGGGCAGAAAAGGAGAGCCACACACTGTAGGATTGCTGGAAGGATTGTGAACCCCAAAAGCAGTGGCCAAAGTCTTTCAGACCCCATGATTTCCTCCAGACCAAAGATCTATACCAAGAATCAGAGAGAAATAAATTGATTAAAGTACTCCAATTCTTCACCCCCACACAGGACAGGGCAACATACCACACCTGATGGCAAGTGCAGCCCACCTCACTCTCCCTTCCCCCAAGAGCTGGATCAGGTTGTGTCATGCCTACCTGGGCCACTAGGATGCCCACAACAATGCCCAGTTGGTTGAGGGTGCCAAAGGCTCCACGGAGACTAGTGGGTGAGACTTCACTGATGTACATGGGCACAAAACCAGTGGAGAGACCACAGAAGATGCCAATAATGAAGCGGCCAAGAATCAGCATCTCCACTGAGCTTGCCAGCCTAGAGAAGCCCATGAGAGCACCACCAGCAAAGGCCAAGATGTTCACCAGCAGCATGGAGTTCCTCCTGCCAAGGTAAAGATTACAAGACTGAACTTAAACTGGCAATATAGTGGGAAAATTGTTGGGAGAGGGGTAAACCTACCCTTCACCCTCAGGTCTCCCAGGGATGGGAGATCATCATAATTCCCCTTCAGCTCCTGCTCTGGCCTGCAACCCTTTCTTTTTGCAGCCCACAGATTCTTGCTTCCTCCCCAGCTGCCTTCTCTTCCTCCCCTTCTCTCACCTCTGCCCTCTTCCTCCCAGCACTGCATTGTAGAAGAGAAAAAAAATCCCTAATGGCTTGGATCCCTCTTCCCAACTTACCTGCCAAATCTGTTGACAAACAGGCTGACTGAAAAGGAGCCCATCATTCCTCCTACTGAGAAGATGGCCACAGAAAGGGACCACAAAGAAGTAAGGAGCTCTGGGGAGACAGCACTCCCGCTCCGTTCTGACAGGGTTCGGTTGAAGAAACTCTGGATGATCTGCAAAAGAAACCAGGTGGGGAGAGAGTTACAATCTAGTGGGAGGCATTTTACGCTGGGGAGAGGGGATGATTACTTCTGAGGTCTTCCTTCTGTTTTCATGGAGTCAAGAAGCAAGAATAGACCCTAAAAATTCAGTGGATAGCAACAAATAATACAAGGGGAAAATCAGGGTGCGGAAAGAGGAACTTCCATTGAGAAGTTCAGAGACGGGTAGCAGTACAATGAGGGAGAGATTGCTTCACTGAACACTGTGGGGGTGGGCCAGAGGTGATTAAGGAAAACAGGCTTATCTCCTGAATGTTTCTGGACGATGTGAGTCACTGGTGCTGCCTGGGGGTGTGTGAGAAACAGTTGGGAGTGAGCTGGAGCAAAAAAACATGATCAGAGGATGGAAGGGGACATTTCTGACAATAGTAGAACTCTAGCAGCAGGAACAGGCTTTCTGGGATGAAAATAGTTTAAGACACAAAGTTTCACTTGAACCAAGCCTGAAAGACTGCAGCATTATATAGAAGTTCCTTTTTGTCCCATGGGGATGTAACAGGGCTGTCCTGCCAATTTCCAAGGCCAAATTCTGCAAGGGCTGAGGGGGGCATGGCCTCAGAGAGTATCTGCTCCAGCAGATGGCAGCAGGACATTAGCTAGAGAGGACCCCCCTCTG